TCGAGAGGAAGATAGTTAAAGATATAACCGGGATCGACAAACATTTCATTAAGTGGATAAAAGCAAAACCAAGTCCTCATCTCATTAAATCAAACTCATATAGGTTGTTTATCTTAGTGTTAATTAAATTCAATCAAATCAAACTTAAAACCCCCCTTGTTACTATTGATATAAGAGAAAAGTATTCCTTTCCCTGTGGATACGAGCCTTACTTCACTATACTACGTATTAGTGTTGTATTGATTAATTATTTTGAGTGCACCTCACGACAAATGCACGTCAAACCGGGTTCAAGCTCGGCCCGGGGGAAAGCTCGACCTCCGCTAGAAATGTTGCCTTAGTCGATTTCGGAAGTGTATTCATGTGCCCCTTCCATTTCGAATTGAGTTGCAAAATTCACTTTTTTGGGTTAAATAGATTCATTTTATTTACTTAATTAGGATATCAATTTTTGATTAATTTTTATTTTGAACTTTGCAACTTTATATAGATTTTAATGTAGTTTCCCAATATGTAAATTTTAATAACTAAAATTGAAATAATTAGCCATAGAAAGGATTTAACTTAACATTGATTGACTAAAACATATTGATTTTGCAAAACAATTTTGGGCAGGATAGTATTACTCAGCCAGTTGCTATATGATAACTGTGGTTTTGCTCTAGTTGCTATAGAACCTACAGGTTTTGATGAAGCTATCACTTAGAGAGAATGGCAGAAGGCCATGGAAGAAGAAATCAAAGTCTGCCCAAGGAGAAGAATGTTATAGGGCTGAAATGGGTTTATAAGATCAAATATAACCGAGATGGAAGCATCTCAAGTCACAAAGCTAGGTTGGTGGTCAAAGGCTATGCTCTACAAGAAGGATAGATTATGAAGAAACTTTCTCTCCAGTAGCTAGGTTTGAAACTGTGAGAGTTATCCTAGCTTTGGTTGCACAATGGAGGTTACCAGTGTTCCAATTAGATGTGAAGTCAGCATTTTTAAATGGAGAGCTTCAGGAGGAGGTGCTTGTTGAACAACCCCAGGGATTTGAGGAGAAGAATGAACCAAAAAAGGTATATAAGTTGAAGAAGGCACTCTATGGCTTAGAACAGGCCCCAAGACTCTGGTACAGTAAGATTGCCTCATTTTTCACTGCTAATGGGTTCAATAGAAGTGATAATGAACCAACATTTTATGTAAAGAAGCAAGGTATGGATCACTTTATTGTTGTTTGCCTTTATGTTGATGATATAGTGTCCTCAGAAAGTATGCTAGCAGATTTGAAAAGCTCAATGAAACAGAAGTTTGAAATGACTGACTTAGGAGTCTTGCAGTACTTCCTTGGTTTGGAAGTGAAACAGAGAAAAGAGGGAACTTTGTTGTGCCAGAGAAAGTATGTCATGCATTTGCTCAAAAGATTTCACATGGAGAACTGTGAAATAGTCAAGACTCATATGAATACTAATGAAAAACTACAGAAGTGTGATGGAACTGAAAATGCACATGAAAGGTTGTTTAGAAGCATGGTAGGGGGACTGAACTACCTAACACACTAGACCTGCCATTGCACACATTGTTAGTGTTGTGTCTAGGTATATGCATTGTCCTACTAAACAACATTTTGGTATAGCTAAAATAATATTGAGATATGTGGCAAGAACACTTTACTTTGGTGTTTGGTATGAAAGTGTAAAGCACTTTAAACTGAAAGGCTACACTGATAGTGACTAGGCAGGCTGTGTTGATGATAGGAAGAGCATCTCAGGGTCAGTATTTGACCTTGGTTCTGGAACAATTACATGGACTTCCAAGAAGCAGGACACTTTGGCCTTGTCAACTTCTGAGGCTGAATATATTGCTGCAGGAGCTGCAGCAAAGCAAACATTATGGTTGAAGAAACTTTTGAAGGATCTGTGTTGTGAACAACAAGAGATTCCAGAGATTTGGTGTGACAACATGTTTACTATAGCATTGGCAAACAACCCAACATTCCACACTAGAACCAAGCATATAGACGTGCATCATTTCAATAGAAGGTTGGTAGCTGAGGAGAGGATAGCTTTGCAATTATGTGGAACTGAGTTTCAGAATGCAGACCTATTCACTAAAGCTTTGACTCAAGCTAAGCATAAGTTTTTCATGGAAAGGATTGAAATGACAAGCTTGGATCAGGGGGAGATGTTGAAGGTGTGATCAAGCTTGCATGCAAAGTAATTCAAGGCCATACACACGTGGAAATTTATTATTTATTCATCATTATGTTTAGTTGAGTAAGTCCTTATTGTTAGCTTAATTATAGGTGTTGTTTGAGTTTGTTATTATCTTTTATTTGAACGTGTAAACATGCCTAAGTCTAAGGAGTTAGGTGAGGGTTACACGTAGCATTACTTCATATTTTGTAATGCCTATAAAAGGCTTATCCTTGTTTCAATATATTTTATGAGAGTTTATGAATCTATTCTTGTGGGTTGTTTGTATACTTTGAACCTACAAGGTGGGCCCTGAAAAATCTAGTAATGTATCGAGCTTGATACCCTGGAGCCGCGATTGAAGGAGGAGCATGCATGCGCGGCAGATGTGGGCGTCCACGTGAAACGCTTTGGCATGTTGAAGAGAGAGTAGGAGTGAAGCGACGGGAAAGTCCAGACTCCGGTGGGGATGGAGACAGCTTTGTGAGAGGAAAAGGTGCACCTGCGAAAGTTTGGGCGCCATGCTATATGAGAGAAAACTCGTCTTTAAGGTTTTAACAACGAATGGAGGCAGCTACTAGGATAACAGTAGAGGCACTCTCAGAAGTAGTGACATGGGAGACATACTCATGCGCCATGTTGGAAGAGGACACCAACGGCACAAAGGTTGTAGGAGCTGCACTCAAGGAAAATATACTCCTATGGAAGAAAAATAGGTTTTACAACTCAAGAACCTTGATAGAGTATATTCCCATATACTCCCAAGGGTATCATAATCGCCGGTCAAAGGCCACAAAGACATCTCAGAATACTCAAAGTAACAAGCTTCCAACAGAGGCCGACCCTGACCCCAACACCGACTCATCGAGGTCGGGACAAAGCACCAGACGACAAATCGATAAAGGAAAGAAGACCCACCGAACCCGACCTTGACCCTCCGAGGTTGGCGGAAACACCGAGCTCAGGAATCACCTAGACAAGGCAAGATATGAGGTCGAGCTCGGTAACAACTCTGACCCCGGGTAGTGACGCAAGGTCGACTGAAGTCAACCAGGGAGTCAACGTTACAAGACAAGACCGAAGGCCAAAGGCACATCCTCTAGCAACGAGCGTTCGAGCTCTGACCTCATGGAGCTCGGGGTCTCACCAAGAATGTTCCAGATAATACATGTGTTGCCCGCGCGTATATTCCGGTACTAGTTTGTTATTGACTGTTCTAATCAGCCAACTGTCCCATTTATCTCTCCAATCACCTTTTCACGTGGAAACACCCCATTAGATAAGTCTGTTTAGTCTGTTAGAAGGCAGAACACATGTTCTCTCCGTAATAGAATAACATCTTTTTTACTTGGGCATCAAGTATTACTCCCTTTGAATAAATATCACCTTCCAACGTGTGGAAAGGAATCCGCAATTAGACTCTCTTGCCGAAACTCTGCTATATTTCCTATGAAATACCACATCTATCAATGTGAAAATGTCATCTTTTAACAATAAAAAATGTCATCTTTTTATGTGAAAATGTCATCTTTTTACAGTAGAAAATGTAATCTTTTATATAAAAATGTCATTTTATGTCAAACTGATATTACCATCTTTATAAGCATACTGCCATAAAAGTGACATTTTCTTCAAATAATCAAAAAGTTTGACATTCTAAGATTCAAGAAGTGACATTTTCTGGGAATCTGCATTTTGAGGTTCAAAATTGCTAAATAAATTAAAATTTAAATCCAGATATATTAAAATACAGAGGATCTAGAAGAAGATGAGAAAAGGAAGAAGAAAATAAGAAGAAGAAGAAGAAGAGATAAGAAGAAAAAGAAGAGATATGAACCAATTACCTACTATTGACTTAGCGGTCGAAATCAACGAAGTCAGACGGTGACAACAGATGCAATACCGGCGGTGAAGGGAGGCAACGAAGTGAGGCGGTGAAGGGAGGTGACGAAGGGAGACGACGATGATAGGAGCAAAACCAATTCACCGAAGAGATGCTCTGGTGCGCACTTGAGCTTCGATGATGAAGTTGAGCTGCCATCAATGACAGAGGAATACCAGGCTTCGATGAGCAAATGATTGAGGATTTAATTATATAAGAATATAATACTGTAATGGTAATGTTTAATTCTATTTAGTGAATATAAAACATGAAGTTCTATACCATTTTTAATCTTATTTAGGGCAATTTCTTAAATTTATTTGACCGACTTATCATGAATCAATGATCGAGTATATATAGCATCATAAATACCAGACTACACATACACAGAAACCACACGTAATTTTGTGTAATACGGAGTACAATACACTTTTACCGAGTACGTATACGGAGTATATAATTATATAAATGTACTCTAAAAAAATTATATAAATGTATAATAGATACACTAAGTAATTAATTTAGAAATTGTCCTAAATAAGAGTAAAAACGTTTTGAAATTCCAAAATAGGAGTATTATGTTTTTTGTTCTTTGAAGAAAAGTAATGTGCTCAGTTTGGAAAAAATGTCATGTTTTAAAGTCTAGTAGTGTCAAACTTGGCAAAAATTTACTCCTCTTAAAGAAATAAAAAACATGATAATCCTATTTTGTTACTTCAAAACTTTTTAACTCCTGTTGAGAAAATTCTCTCTAATTAATTCACACGGGCACGAGCGATTAATTACCCGTTAACTATTTTATTATTACCACCACCGAGGAACACTAATTAGTGGACTACTCCACCAAATTGGCAAATTTACTCCTATAAATTTCCTCCCCGCTCGTCATCCTAGGACACAAAAATTAATTATTTCCAAGGCAAGAAACTTATTACGAGGAAAAATGATGAGATACCCGACCATGTGTTCTCTTCTTCCCAAAAGAAACGTTAATGGCGTCTTATTAGCACTCCTAATAATAATAGTTGCTAATCTTAATCTCTCCTTCTCTCTCCGCCAAACTCCCTCTCCTTCATCTTCCAAGATCAAGACGGCCCTTCATCGCGTCGATAGCAATATCGAGTACGATAACATCAGCTATGCATCCATTGATTACGGCAACATAATCCACAACCTCCCCTTAGGCGTGCTAAACCCAGGCTCCGTTGACGATATAGCTCAAACCCTCGAGCTCGTTTCGCTGATCGGGCCGTTCGTGGGTCTGACCGCGTCAGCGGGGGGCTGCAGGCATTCCAACGGCGGGCAGGCGCAAACGGCTAATGGGATCTTCATCGACATGCGGTCAAACAGGCTCTACGAAACGGTGGTCAACGCTGGGGCGAACCCGCCGTACGCTGACGTGTACGCCGGAGATATGTGGATCACGGTGTTGAATGAGACCCTAAAGTATGGGTTAGCCCCGCCGTCTTGGACGGACTACTTGCATATAACTGTGGGGGGGACTCTGTCTAATGCAGGGATTAGCGGGCAGGCGTTTCGGCATGGCCCACAGATCAGCAACGTACTTCAGCTCGAGGTCGTTACAGGTTCGTATGCATATGCATGCATGCACGTGCATGGATATACTATCGTATTTAAATTTAGTACGTACGTAAATAAGAATATTAATTAGTACGTAGTATTTCGTATGTTTTTTTTCTGCTAAAACAATATCTGAAATTATCTGTAGATTAATTTCATATATATATCGCAGGAACAGGAGAAATTGTAAATTGTTCAAGTACACAGAATGATGATCTCTTCTTTGCTGTTTTGGGAGGACTTGGGCAATTTGGAATAATAACTAGAGCAAGGATCATCCTCGAGCCGGCGCCACAGAAGGTTTAGACGACCGCATAATAACTAAATTCATGTTCTCATTTAAACTGATTAGTCTCGGATTAAATGAGATTAAACAATACTTAACCAAATTTAAAGAAATTAGGCTAAGCTTAATCATGTTATATCTTGGTTAAACAAACAAGGCTTATGTAATTACGGGGTTTTATTATAACACAGAGTAGTAAAATACACATAATATGTGATATTAATTATCGGACCACACCAATTTGAACCGGATCGGTTTTAATGAATTAACCAGTAACGCCAGACTTAAACAAGTTAGAAAGGACCGGATGTCCAGATCAGTTCAAGTTAGAGGAGAAAATGTCCGTCTAATGAAAATATGATCTAATTCATATACTATACGCTTCATACATCATTGCATTAATTACTTACTCCTATTAAGGAAAAACGTAATATATACTCTTACTTAAAGAAACTTTATTCTTCTTTAATTGTATTTAGGGAAATTCCCTTTTATAGAATTTGGGATTTAATTGAATTTGGGAAATTTTCCACAATAAGAACAAAACCATAGTTTTTTCGTACACAGGAATGAAGTGTTGTCATCGTAATAAAGTCATACAGTCATATTATGATATTTTCATGCATTATGAAGTTGAAACTTTGATCTAAATAATACAATATTGTTTCCTATCAAAAAAAATAATAATACAATATTGTTTCAAAATGTCAGTAGTTAATCTTATTCATGAAAAAATATAGTAATCATATTTTGGTAAATACCTATGTTTAATTTACTCCTATTTAGAATTCTTTGTAAATGAAAAACATAGTAATACATATGTGTCAATATGTAAATTTTAACCATTCATATTGATTTAAACATTTCTAGTATATTCACCCGAGCAGTGGACGAGAGTATGCTAAGTACATTATTACTGAGTGTAAAATGTTCAATTAAAACTTAGTTGGCTATCCATCATTGTTGTTCACCCTAATATCATCAACAATTTGTTTTAGTTTTTAATGAGAATTTTGAGCTTAGAAATTAACTTTTACCTTAAATTATTAAATTAGCATAATATGGAGTAATAAAAATATGGTTCATTTATTATATAAAGTTTATTTGAGTTCTGTTATAAATATAGTACTATGTAATATTTATATTTAAACTTCTTAAGTACATATATACCTACATATTATTGTCACGATTCTGAGTTACGTTTGTTTGTATAATATAATAATGAATACAGTTAATAAAATATTAATATCGAAACTTTGCACACCTATTACATAAAACATGTATATATCAAAATAAAAATATTTGGAATTTTAAATTAGATTACATTTTTACTTGTAGGCTAAAAATGAAAAGAAAAACAGCGTGTTATTATATACGAAGTACTTATGATTTGCCTTTTAATTGAGCTTTCAGTATATCACATTTTTTCTAATTGTAGATGTAAGTGTATTTTAGGTTACACATGCTTTGATAATATTTTTACTACAATTCATAATTATGTATGTTCATATACTTACGCGAGAAATTTAATTAATTATTTTGTACATTTACGCATTTTTGTGAGTTAACAATACCCAAATAACTTAAATATATCTCCTTAGATAATTTAAAAATATATTGAGAATTTATATATATAATTTTAATAGGGATAAACTTTAATGGTTATATAGCGATTAAAAGTATGACCATCCATGTATTTAATGTGTTTTTTTTAAATAATATTTAGATTTTACTATACTGAAGTTAATATATACTACCTCCGTCCCGTTGCAAGGTTCTCATAGCAAAGTACCTAGAGTATATTTTGAGAAATAATTTTAATAAGTATATATTATAATGTTGTTAGTATTGATAAGTTTGATATTATAAATGTATTATTTTTAATATTTAATTATTAATTTGTCACTTAAGATTGGTAATTGTTTCGTAAAATCGAGTAAGATATAGGTATTTCAGATATTTATATTTTTCCCCTATTTAGGGAATTTTTTGTACGATAGTATATTTTTTTTATGGAAAGATGGAAACTAATAATCCAGCATTTTAGCTGTCTTCTTACAATAGTCTCACCTTTTGATTATTCATGAATAATCCAACCTTTGCACCCCATCTTCATTCACTGGTCCCTGACCAATTTATGACCTGTTATTCCAAGTTATTTTCTTATCTTTGTAAAACATTATACCATAATTTTCACCTTATGATCACATAATGTTTTGCAAAGATAAAAAAATAATTTGGAATAACAGGTCATAAATCGGCTAGGGACCAATGAATGAAAATGGTGTGCAAAGGTAGGATTATTCATGAATAATAAAAAGGTGAGACTATCGTAAGAAGATCGCTAAAAAGTTTGATTATTGATTTCCATTTTCTCTTTTTTTATTTAGTTTCTAGATATGTAAATGTTAATCATCATTGTAGATTTAAAAATTACGTAGTACTACGTATACAACACAGGGGTTTACCCACATACATTCATAGGAGGGATGAAATATTTTTAATTGCTGTATATATTTTTATAGGTTAAAAGGATCCAAGCCCTCTATTCAAATTTCACGGTATTTTCTGGAGACCAGGAGCTTTTAATATCTCTAGAAAAGACATTTGATTACATAGAAGGAATGGTGGTGAAGAACGCACCAGGTGACATGCCTCTTTTTCGCCTCGAAGTCAACAAAAACTTCAACGACAACGACGACCCAAAGAAAGTGCAAGCGGTAATGAATGCAAATAACTAAACCTCTTTGACTCTCAGGCATTTAAATATCGAGTTGCACGTTAAATTTGATTACATTTTACGTTATTATTTTATGATTGTTTTTAAAAAAAAAAATTCGTTGAATTCATCTTATTACTCTACAAATTTTCAAAATCTGATTTTTAATATTTTTTACTAATAGAATTAAGATATAATTACAGTCAAATGCGTGCGTTGATAAATGTGAAACGTTGACTGTTGCAACTAAAAAAGAACGGAGGGAGTACTACTTCCGTTCTTTTTTAACCGTAACAATATGAATTTCATGTTTATCGACATAATTTTGATTGTAATTATATTTAATTACACAATAATAACATTATAAAAATGTTAATATTTTGGAAATTCACATTAATAGAAAATCAATACTCCCTTTATCTCGTTGGAAGGTTCAAGTGGATAAATTACATGATTTTTTAGATAAGGGGTTAAACTAAGTAATTTGGATAAAAAAGATAAGAAAGACAAAATTTGGAAAAAACAAAACATATAAAGAGAAAGTAATTAAGGGAGATATAAATATCACGGAGTTGAAATTGTGAGACTTGACATGTAATGGGTATGAAAGAGAAATTTGAAAAAATGTGTAATTAAATAGAGCAAATTATTTCCTAAAATGGAATGACAACATTTAAATGAGACACCGAAATAAGGAAATTTGGAACTTTTCAACGGGATAGGGGTAGTAATATTGAATACGTAGTATATAATAATTTAAATATATATTAGTAAAAAATCATAGTCAAAATGAGGTGTGTGAATAATGAAAAATATGAATATTGCAACTATTGAAGAACTGATGAAGAATATAGGAACACTACTCTTTCTATATAATACTCTCGATCTGGCGAGATTTCCGTGAGATTGGTCTTATATTAACCATACTCTATGTATATTCATTAAAAATATTACTCCCTCTGTATCTTTTTAGTTGTCTCAGTTTCTTTTTTGGGATGTATCAAATTAATTGTCTCATTCTCGTTTTGGAAAGAAATCCACTCAAAAAGCACCTACAATTGCGCTACAGTACTACTGTCATACTAAAAACCTGTTACATTTCATAGTTAGTACTTATAATCTATATTAATTGTTTTAAACTATGTAAAAAGTAAACGGGTCAACTAATTAGGTAGGGAGGGAGTAAGATATACTCCGTGTATATAGATCGAGAGGGGGACGAGAAGGGACAATTAACATACTTATCAGAACTCTTTTTAGTTTTTTATCATATCATAACTCATAAGTACTCCATAGTATATTTATAGCATATAATTTAACTTTTTCACGTACTAAGTGCTGGAACATGACATATACTACAAATACGTCACTTTCATAATTTGGAATGTCAACGGTGTCTTTTGACGGTAAGAATTAAGAGTATCCATTTCAGGAAGAAGCAAGGTAAGAATTAATACTACCTCCGTTTCTGAAACAAGTTTCACCTTTCCTTTTCGGGCAGATTCAAAATTAAGTTCCACTTTCAAACATTTCCTTATTAGGCAAATTATCTACATCAAAACAGTGTCAAACAGTGTTCAAACAGTGCCAAACAGTGTCAAACAGTGCACTCCACTGTAAAGTCAAATTTATTTTCTTAATATGTGTGAAGTCAAATGTGGAACTTGTTTCAGAAACGGAGGGAGTATATAGTTTCAACCGTTAAAACCAAAAGTTTAAATTAATAGACTAATAAATGTTATATTACGAATTTTTTATTTATTTGACAGTGTTGGGATTAAGGCTTGGATGTTGTTATTGTTGTTGACAAGTACGCGATTGGATATATGCAGGAAATCGACGGATTACTAGCGAAATTAAGCTACAATGCATCAACACTAACTATTACAGAATCTACTTATGTAGAATTCTTAGAAAGAGTTTATACAGCTGAGCTATTCTTGAGGAGCATTGGGTTATGGGTAGGAGATCAAGTATCTCACCCATGGCAAAACCTTCTCATGCCCAAAAGCAAAATTCAGACTTTTGCTTCAGAAGTGTTTTACAATATTCTCAGAGATACAAGCCTCGGACCTGTTATTGTCTACCCATTGAACAAGTCAAAGTAATTACCTACAATCCTTTCCCCTCTAAATATTTCTACCCCTTTCCATAATTTGTTGACATGGAAGGAGCAAATTAAAGCACGATTTACTAATTACTCCCATAATAAAATTTGTTTATTCATAGTAATATAATTAAGTAAATAACTAATTAATATCACTTCTTAGGAAAAATTTGGTCATTTTTTGAAAACAAAAAAAATTAAAATTTTCTCTTCCTTGATGACAATTACCTCTAAATTGGTTATATTTCCAAATTAAATTTGTTTCTTCCTCGGTTGCACATTTCAAAAATCCCTACCATTCTTTTCGTATATTTTTACTGCTTTTTCAATATTTCTATTTACGCGAAGTTGCTATCTCCGTCCCAAAATGATGGTCCTTTATTTCCTTTTTGGGATGTCCCAAAATAAGGGTTTTGTTTCCCTTTTTGGAAAGAAAGATGTGGCCCATATTATTTCATTTTATTATACTCAAATCTCAACCACAACTTTTACCTTTTCAATCATTTTAATAAAACTTGTGCCCAAAAGAAATGAGATCAATTCAACACAACCCAATACTTTTAGTCCTTTGGCTTAACTAACATAACACACCTTTGGTAACTGTCATAGCTTTTAATAATTAATGTGATACTTTGAATCTCTTGACTAATATCTTTTCAACATATGTGATCGATCAAATAAAGTGTCACTATGACAGTAGTTGATAGAAAAAATGTGACTTTCGCAATAATTGGAGGATTCAAAGTCGAAAAATTCAAAGATAAGCGTTAAAAGTGTCTCTATCACAATCATCGAAAAACTAAAACTGTGAGGTACATGGGCTAACACGCATACATGATAAGCCTTAATGTAATACTGTGTATGATATGTGTGTGTAATTTCAGGTGGGACAATAGAACTTCAGCTGTTCTTCCGGAAGGAGACATCTTTTATGCAGTTTCATTGCTTCCCCGTGCAAACATCTCATCCAACGGAACTGATGGTTTGGCATACTTGCTAAATCAAAGGAAAAGAATCTCCGATTTCTGCGAGTCGGCGGGCATCGGAGCAATCCAGTATTTGCCATATTATGAGACACCAGAAGAGTGGCAGAAGAAGCAGTATGGTCCAGAGAGGTGGGAAGTCTTTACAACGAGAAAACAGGCCTACGACCCTTCCTGTGTTCTTGCCCCGGGACAGAACATTTTTACTGCTGATACATGCCCTGGCTCCACCGGCGGCTTTAATTGAAACCCCAAAACAATGAGTTCATTTGTTGCCGGCCCACCCATAAAGAATACTCCCGGAACCTGCTTTTTCTTTTAATAATAATGATGCAAAATATTATCCCAAATATGCGGGGATAAATATATAGTACTCCCTACAAATAGATATTACTACATCTCGAACTTATGGTAATAAACTTGTCTCCATCTCGAACTTATTTACATGTATCCATCTATATATATATACTCGGACAAATTTACATACTAGTATCTCCGTTGACTCTGTCGGAGTGGATATAAGAATTCGAGACGCACATAAGTGATCTCAGCAAAAAATGGAAGAAATTACATAAAACTAGGGGCGGGCATTGAAAGCCGTAACCGTTAAACCGTACCAAATAACCGAAAAGCAGGTGTTTTTTTCGGTTAACCATACCAAGTTTTCAAAATTTTGCGGTACCGTTAACCAACCGAATAAAAAACGGTACATGGTACGATTACGATTATAAATTAAAACTACTAATGGTTAACCATTTGAAAGCAGAACATATGCGAGGATAACCACCGGAAAGCACAACATATGTGTTAACTACAAATAAATATAGCCTAATAGGCTATGCATGCTCGAGGCCTCGAGCAAAAACTGGTGGTGCCGTGGTGGGGAGCTATATTATTATAATAATTAATAATACTAATAATTAATTAGTTTGTCATATGGTACAATCATAATTGTGAGTAATAATACGGAGTGTGTCAATTTTCATATAGGAAAATAAAAGCCTATAATACGAAACAGTTAGAAGATTGAAACAAAAACCACACGGCTTCAGACCTGCATACGTAATACGCAAGAGGCGGCACATTTTCAATGGTTTAAATGGTTTTTTGGTTAACCAATTAATGGTTAACCTATATTATGGTAGTAGTGTATTCGGTTAACCAGTGTCAGTGGTCGACCCAGAGATTTGTCAGAGTAGGGGCACACTAGTAATGAAATTCTTGGCCGGAAGCGGACACTTATTTTACTCTAAGTACTAGTTGTGAAATTACTGGCCGAAAGGGGGGGCACTTGCCCCCCTAGGCCCCTCCCTAGGTCCTCCACTGACCAGTGTTACGGTACGGTAAATGGTATTGTAAATATACTAACCGAAATCACGGTTAACCAAAAATTGGTTAACCGAAATGCGGTTAACCATCCATGCCCATCCCTACATAAAACATGACACGATGCACTCCATAGTGTTAGGAGAAAAGGGTTTTTAGAATTATAAAATTTGATGAATTGATGATTGTGTGTGGAAGATATAATTGAAGTGAAATGATATTAGAATAGCTTGAAAGTTTTATAGATTTTGAACTTTTGACTTTCTCAATGCCACACGTCTTGTGGGGTCATTCCATGAAGACTCTTTTTGGAGCAACAATTTTAAAGGTAGGTACCATTTAATCCACAACTTCTATCAAACATTTTTTAGGGATGGAATCTTCTTTATGTTCTTTGTCACTTGGAGTTGGCTTCGAGCCAGGTTGAGGATAATTTTATGGAGATTTTTATGATACCTCTTCAAATTTGGAGTGTATCATACATTTGCTCTCTTCAGCCAATAGCATTTCAAGTCATTTCATTAATGGATGTTTTAAATTTACATGTGCAACTATTTCATTTGCCCACACAATGAGATGCATCATATTTTCCAAATTTTCAAAGGCAACATAGAATGACCCTAATTTTATTCCTTTCGACAACACCATTTGTCTATGTTATGGTGGCATATTCATGAAAAAACAAATGCCATTATTTTTACAACCTTTTGAACTCGATCCTTTGATGTGAGCCACCCAAGACTAAAATTTCTTGAATGCTTCAAAGCCCACTCATTTATGTTTTAAAAAATATACACATGCTTTTAAAAAATATAAATTCAATGATTCTTTAGCTCTTGAGGTAACTTCTACGAGAATGAATACCAAGTTGAATTGGAATTGGTTTCCAAATAGTAATTCTACACACATAGCTACGTTGATCCGGATGATTGATGGACAACCTATCTTTTATCATGTGTTTAATTTGGATTAGATTGTCTTCAATCCCCAAAATTTAATTTAGTGCACATATCTGAAGTGTCAAATTCATATATAATCGTATAAGCGGTTATGGTGAAACTATATCATATCCCATACAATTACTTGGACACATGCATGGTGGTGAGTAGGCCGGACATGATCGAATTTGCTGAGAAACACTTCTCATGAAGAAGTTACTTGTATAGCCGAATGAACAAATTAACATTTTTTACAAAGAACAAATCATATTAATTGCACTTTTGTTTAGGAGTACAAAAACGGGAGTTTTTTCCCAGAAATAATGCTAAATACAAAACTATTTATGAAATTTGTTATACTTTTTATAAAAATCAAATTACAAACAAAAAATTTATAACCATTTAAAAAATATAATATTTGTGTCATATGAAAGATAATAACACTACTACATTTTTAGACCTAATGTAACATTAATGATGTAACATATCTATAATAGTGTTACCTATTTCTCTAATGTAACACTTTTAGATCTAGTGTAACACTTTCTAGAAGTATAAGTGTTACATTATGTACTATAAAGTGTTAGAATAGGTCAAATGCAACACCAACAAATGTAATGGTAAAACAATGTTACATTTTCTCTGAAAAGTGTTACATTAGAGAAAATGTAACATTTTTTTACCATTACATTTGTTGGTGTTGCATTTGACCTATTGTAACACTTTATAGTACCTAATGTAACACTTATATTTCTAGAAAGTGTTACACTAGGTCTAAAAAGTGTTGCATTAGAGAAATAGGTAACACTATTATAGATATGTTACATCTCTAATGTTACATTAGGTCTAAAAATGTAGTAGTGTAACTATTTCTTCGTATAATTTTTTCTTTATTTTATTAATAAGAAATATTTTAAATATAATTGTTTTCATAAATCAGTAGTATCGGTCAATCCAGTCACTTCAAACATAATTTCATAAATTTAATTAGAATCAACCGATTCAGTCAATTTCAGCGTTACTAAACGGACTCTAAAAAGTTATGAGATCTTAACCGTAGAACATAGATCTACTTAAAAAGGTTTGTAGCCTAAAAAACCTCTACATACTCATCGTATCTTCAGAATTGTTTTTATTTTTATATATTGAATATTGATGTCAAATGAAAGAATAAAAATTTATAAAATTTGATATACTTTTTATGAAAATCAGATTATAAATATAAAAGTTATAACCATTTTAAAAAATGAGGGATTTTCATTAAGCTAGTGAAATGTGGTATGAAAGATAATCACATAAATATTAGCAAATCAATTATCTCTCTCCTTATTTGAATGATTTTATACAATTTTGGTAAGTTTCCCCCTGCAATTTCAACTGCAATGTCAACATTTAGACGGTCTCCTTGACATTGTGGAGAAAAACTTACCAAAACTGCATAAAAACATTCAAATAAGGAGATAAAGAATTTATTTACTAATATTTATGCGGCTATCTCTCATGCCACATGTGCACCATGCACATTATAGCATTGGAGATGCTCTACGCTAATTATTATAGTTGCCAAATGGTTAACCAGGGTTTAGTTTTAACCACGAACAAAATTTTGGTAAATAGTTTTAACCCCACCCTAACTTTGTAAATAAATTTTTATTTAGCATTGTATTTGAAAAAACTCTAAAAAGGCTCTCTATATAACATATGGTTTTGATTATTAAAATAGAATTACACTACAATTATATAACAAGAAAAATTAAAGAAATAAATTAAATTATAGATAATTCAAAAATAGTAGTAAAACAAAACACAATTATTCAAATAGGACTTCCATTACTTTAATTTCTTCCCCAAATAGAACCCATTAACTCATATGTTGGGAAGTTTTATTTGTTTTATTCTTTTAACGGAAAAGAGTCGAATAGACCCTCGAACTAACTTAAAGAGTGGAAATCACCCCTTAAAGGGTTCCCGATGGAATTTTTTATAAACTTTTTTGAACACCTTCTTCACTAAGTCTAGTTTACTCATACCAAATTTCAGATAAACATTCAATCGGCAAGGCAGACAAATGAATTTTTGAAGATAACTGCGCAGTAAAACAGCGCAGTACAAATTACTGTGTGAATTATGCCGAGATACAACAGTCGAATAATCTAAGAATAATATAAAGAATTTAAACAGTAGAAGACAAATTTCACCAATAACGTATACCGTGTATATAGAATGATGAATCCATGAAGAACAATTACACAGTACTCGAACGTCTAAGCTAGAGAGAGAAATTCTAATTTACTGCCTGTACAGAGAATAATATGCGGAATGTGTAATGTGTAGAGACTTAGAGAGCTGATTCGGCCATCTCATCCTATATTTATAGGTGAAAGACTCGACCAACCCTATTACAATTAGGAAACAAGATGGGTCGTGCATGTGGGCTATGTAGAGCATTTAAATCAGACCTAATTCTCTCTCAGCTAAACAAATTAATTACAAATAAATTGAACACAACAAATAATTATTCTAACATTCTCCCCCTTTGTGTTCAATCTTCGATGAAGCGCAATTTATCTCTGAATATTTGACAATGAGTTTCGGTAGCCTAGAATTACTTCATAATGTCTGAGATGTCTTCTGAATTGTAGTCTGAATGTTATGGCTTCGACAAAGTCTTTAATGAGAGCAACTTGGATTGGGTCATCTGGATTCTTGGATTTTAGTAGCTTGATTGCAGCTTCTCCCAGATGGTCTTCAATTATTCGAAGTGTACCATCGCAGTACTTGTGAATTTCGCTCATGAGTAGACCTCGCTTGATGCCCTTGTAGTCTTTGTAGACGAGTCTTATCTCGGGTTCTGTTACGATGGTGCCTTCTTCAAAACTTTCGATCCATTTAGCTCTATTCCTTGGAGCAGTCATGTTCACCTTTGTAAGGTTGTTTTCAATGGCCATTTGCAGATCAAAGAGACAATAATATTTGACTTGTCTCATCATGAATCTCTTGAGTGCATTTAGCCCTAGGTCTTTGTCCTTCTGAGGTAGACATGCATAATTGACGAATCTGTACTCGTAGAATAACTGAATAAGATCTTCCTCAACAACGTAGTACAGATCAGCATCAGACGCTCTTTGGATCATCCCGTTCTGTCGTTCAAACACAAAGATCAGATAGAA